TGCTTATTTATGTGTGTCAGCGCATGTCTAAGATATTTGTTGTTACTATTTTGAGGAAAACATGGCCAGAGGAAAAGACAACTTCATTATGAGTGACAGGAAAGAGAGGCAGGAAAAATAGTGAATGAAAGCGAGAAAGGTAGAGGAATAATATGAGAGCGATTCTGTGCTTACGGAAATATTTGAGGGTCTCCTCGATCTGTTCAGTGGTCAGGTCGAGGTTGACGTCGGGTGAGATGAGAGGCGTGTGTAGCCAGTCGTCGTGGTCATAGCCATATATTGTGTCAGCTCTCAACTTATAATGAGGCAACTGCTCCTCAAGCAAACTGATGATTTCCACCTCAGGAAGATCAGTTCTGTTACACACATCTGACAAAGAGAGAGAAAGAATGCAAAGAGAATGGTGAGAAAAATGTTGGGCATGCACAGACATTTGCTTATTACTAAAGACATTACTAAAAATAACCCAGGTAACAACTACGTTTTTGTATCATGACAGTCTTTGCCTAGTGCCTAGTAGTCACTGCATTTGCAACAAAATGTAAAAAAACAAAACACACACATTAAAAATAAATTAAAATGTACATAAAAAAACAAGGCACAAGAATGCTTTTCAATAAAAGTTCTGAAAAAAAAAAAAAAGAAAAGAAATAATTTTGATAGGTTTTAAACTATAAAACAATATATAAATTGTTCAAAATGAAGACATACTGTATAACTTATTATTTTTTCAACATTTCAACAGGGCTAACACAGAAAATACTGAAAAATGTGTATATTACAACTTAAGGTTGTAATAACTGTATAATAACAGTGTAATAATATAAAAACAATTTATTATTACAAAGATGAAGTCAAACGACACATTTGGGACCAAAATAAGCACTTATAAATGAAAATGCATCAAGTGCGAGTTTAGGCTGACCTCTAGTGGTCTGATGAAGAACTACACAACTACACTACTCAATACAAGTGGAACTTGCAAATTACAATCCACACGTTTTTGGAATGACAAAACACAAAAATGGTGGAAAAATACTGAGATTCAATGTTCAAGCAAATTATGAAGCAGCCACTGTCTTACCAGAATATGTTTATCTGCCCATCCTCCCTTCACACAACATGCTGTTGTTCAACACAGCAGCCTTTCCTTTGTCAGACAAACAGCCCTTATTCCAAACCACCAATACCATTCTAACAACTCTCGTCTGTACAGTAATGACAAAATAGCTTCTGAGCAGAATTGTAACACTGAAATGTGTGGCATATTAGAGACTCAACCACAATGTGTGATGGAAGCAGCATGCTTGTGTTTAACTAAGCACATGGGTTTAACCTCTAGAATGGGACTGGCCTTACAACAATGCAACTCCCATTACAGCTGTAATGCCAAAGAGATGAACCACTGATGGTCAGCAGAGAGAGAGAGAGAGTGAGTGAGTGAGAGAGTATCTAGGTGAACTTTGAGTGCTCTAATGGCATGTGAGTAATCTGCACTCCTTGAGCAAGGATAAAAGCAGTGTTCACCTTTATACAAGGTCACCAAGTTTGTGCCACAGATTCAATGCAACTCCACATGAAGTCTGCATGAATTTGAAGCTGTCATTTGTGATTTCGATGATAAAATATACATTTAAAGAAAAGAGATGTGTGTCATAATGGCTACACTGATGAAGCAGCAGAATGTAGTTTACAGTTCAGTATTTGAGTGCTTAATACAGGTAAAAGCTGGAATACACTACACAACTTTTAAAAACACTAGACATCATGCACTTGCCGACAATGTAAATAGTTATAAACTGAGGATCTCACACTACCAGATTTTCAAGTCATTCCAAACACAAACTCATACAGAAACATTTGCCTTGTTGTGTGTGACAAATGAAAACCATGCGTTCTAAAAATCGCAATTTTCTATGAAATCTGTCAGCTCAAATCTGCAGACTGGCTCTGACTTTCAGCAACTAGTGTTAACTTCTCCAGACTGCAAACCGGGGCAAAAATCTGGTCAAAAGTCGTGAAGTGTATTTCAGCTTTGGGTTCACACACACAGTTCAATTACTTACAAGAGTGACAATCACATTCTACAACCAAATTTAGGCCATGTCCACACATACATGGGTATTTTTATAAACAGAGTTTTTCCTTCTTCTGTTTTAAAAAAAATCTCCGTCCACATGAAAACGCAAACGCATGCTATGAAGCACTGTCAAGAGCATGCCAAACCAACAGGTGGCGATATAATCTCAACCGTAAAGCCATGTTGGCCAATCAGAAGCCTGAAAAAGTTTCCAGTAGGCGGAGATAACAGCGCAGGCTCCGACATCACAAGCCAAGATCTCCGGTTTTGCTGTCTACACGATAACACTGGGCATGGGCCGGTATGAGATTTTGACGGTATGATAACCTTAAGCAAAAATATCACGGTTTCACGGTATTGTCGTTACAGCTCTAAAATGTGCTATTTTTAAATGACTGGGTAAAAAGAAAAAACATTTTTCCCGCTGAACACAATATATTTTGTTTTTGAGCAATATACTGAATATTAGGAACAGTAGAATTTGTTTATTTTTTCTTTGATTTGTTTCCTAAAAAGAAGAAAAATAAAGACTCACATCGTTATTTAACCTAAATCTGTAATTACAGTTATTTAATTTTAGTTATATAATTCATATACATATCATTTATATCATTTCATATCATTTAGTTACAGTATATAACTTCATATTTTCACATAAATTACATTTTGGAAAACGATTGCATTGCAACGCAGTTTGTGCAAGTCCAGAACAGAGATGAGTTGCTTGCAATAAGACAAAAAACAGCCGGTTGCCGATCGCCTTAAGTTCCAGGGGCAGCTTCTTAAGTTCGGCCATCCTACACACACGTGACTGACTGACCGCTCGCTCGCACCAACAGGAGGAGGAGGGGTCGTGTTACTCTCTACACTGCACTCAACCTAAGGGGTTCCTACACTTTCAGTCTTTGAGGAGACATGAAAAACAGCGCATACCGCAGGAATGGTATAATGGAAAATATTAGCGGTTTTGAAACAGTGACATTTTCAAATCTCGCCATACCGTGAAACCGGTAATTGGCCCATGCCTAGACAACACTGCAACCGGAGTTTTTTGAAAATCTCCCTGTCCACACGAACGCGGTTATTTTTAAAACCGCAGCTTTTTCTACGCGGTTTGGCCGTTCGTCCACACGCAAATGCAGCACTGGGTCCCTGAAACCAAACATTTTTGAAAAGGCCTGCCAGGGTGAAGATTTTCAAAAACTCCGGTTGCAGTGTTATCGTGTAGACAGCGAAACCAGAGTTTTTGGGCTTGTGACGTCGGAGCCTGCGTCGTTATCTCCACCTACTGGAAACTTTTTCAGGCTTCTGATTGGCCAACATGGCTTTACGGTTGAGATTATATCGCCACCTGTTGGTTTGGCATGCTCTTGACAGTGCTTCATAGCATGCGTTTGTGTTTTCATGTGGATGGAGATTTTTTTTAAAACGGAAGAAGGAAAAAATCAGTTTTTAAAAATAACCGTGTACGTGTGGACATGGCCTTGTAAATTTTCAGGATTCACAACCATATTTTAATCAAACCTCTACTGTGTGAAAGGAAAAGCAGTGGACAAGTTTAAGTGTTACAGACGTTTTCATCTTTGATATTTACTTTAGTCACTGCAATATGGTTCAAGGTGATATCCACAGCTATTGCGCAAACAGAAACAGGGACTGACTCTGGGTAATTCATTGTAGCAGCTTGAATACTACAGGTGTTGTGGGAATGAGACAGTTTGAGATTGACACCCGTTATAAAACATGATCTTCAATTCCAAATGCTCTCTGTGTGAATGTAGCCAACTGTTATTATTTTTAGCATTATTTTATCAATCAATAAAGTAAAGGGAAAAAAATAGAAGCGATTTAGAAATGTAACAATTAAAGAACTCCAAAAATGGCAAGATTCTTATGGGAATTTTTAAACAATGAAAGACCTTCACTAACAGTTTCAGCTGTGTGTTAAAGGGTAGCAGGTACTGCAACAGAAAAAATAGTGCCTGCTTACATTTTTAACTGCCTTTGTTCCAGAACTGTTCCTTTTAATTTTCTCTATAGGGATTTCAAAATACAAGCCATAAACCAAACCAACCAACATCTTTGATTTTAAGTAAGAATGTGCATTAAAACCAGAAAAAAATATATATAATAATAATAATAACGACATAAGAAGCACTGCGAATAGCACAACACAAATGGCACAACACAAAACATTGGTTATAAGTGTAAAAAACAACATACAAACAATTAATATACACAATATATTTCACATTTATTGCTAAATAAGCCAATAAACAAATATTTATGTAGTGTGTGTAGCACAGGAAAACAAAATTATATTCTGTCATTTTAATGCTTTATGCATTGTGGTAGCGAAAACTACCACATTTCGCTATAAGTTTGATTGCATCATATAGTAATTGCTGTTAATAGTGTTCATCGTCTGTTTTATTACGTCTTAAATTGATTTTTCCGTACATTTCTGCCATATGTACATTAACTGACAGTCACCACTGATAAACTACCACTAAATATTGTAGAAATTTAATTATGAGACCCTACCGTTCGGCACGCATATGATTTGCAGATTAATTTGCCAATTTACACGTACAAGCAATTTTAAACCACAAGAAGAAGAAACGAAAGAGAGCCCAATTCGTTACTCACGCGCTGTTCTCGCACACAATCAAATCACGCCCAAGAGACATGTTTCAGACAGCGCGGAAATACCGAGTTGCGTATACATTGGGCACTCTATAACAATATAATGCGTTGAACCACTATATAATGCTATTATGATACTATATAATAGCCTAATATATATATATACTGTACTGTCATATATAATTTCAGACAGCGATAGATAGGCTATGACACACTCTGTTATGTTAATGATTGTTCTAATCATTCTGTATTTTCTTTGTATGCGACTGATATGGAGTAGCAATTTGACAATTTCATGTTAAATAAGTAAATGAAAGATTGCTCTGATCTGTCACATATTTGGAGTTAAACGGATCGCAGTTGGCTATTATGATACTATATAATAGCCTAATATATATATATACTGTACTGTCATATATAATTTCAGACAGCGCGGAAATACCGAGTTGCGTATACATAGGCCTACACACATAAAATTAGTCTATGTCAAAAACCCTTCACGGCATTGTCATTCTCTGTGCTTTAAATATGTTTTTCTTGCTTATCCGAAAAAATAGTCCGATCTGTGACTCAAAA